GAACCAATTACTATGGATTATTACCAGTCATCTGAGTATATCTGGTTTCTTCCAGTGATTTTAATTCTTCATGTAGGGGATCTTCTTTTTCTCTGCTGGATTTGATTTTTTTGTTTTAAGATGCAACAAAAAAATTAAGAATGCTAATTTAAGGCAATGGGATTTTTTTCCTTTTTGAAACAATGGGGAAAAACATAAGAAATCATAAATTCAAGTCCACATAGGAATTTACGGTAATCCCGTTAAACATTCTTTTGGCCACAGTGTAAGCATTCGCTGTTAATTTTTATGCTTTGAACGACTGTTGGTGTTATGTATTTATATCAAAGCTGGATGCCTTTTCAGAGCTGGATGTCTTTTCAGAATCTTTAGTGGCTCTCAATGAATAAATGCTCAGCCACTTATATACCAGGACAAGTTGAGAAACTTCTGGTCAGGAACCTCTACTGTGACTTGGGATCTGAGTCCCATTTCTGAATTTGTACAAGATTCCTCTCTTGACTTACAAATATGCCTCTTAATGGCCTTGTGCTTGAAATTCCTCTGTGAGCTAGTGAGGACAGGAGATTCACCCTCCTTAATAATAAGTGCTGTCAGATAATGCAGCTTTAATATAAGATGTTTGTGGAGTATCTTTGTAGGCGTCTTTGGAATGATGTTCAAACTTTGCTGGATTTGTAGCTGCCTCTACATCACATATCACGTGTATAGTGTTTCTATACAGCCAATTCCTTGGTTGCCCTGGCACAGAAAAGCCTTATACCTAGTGCACCTTGTATTGAAAAACCTGGATTTACAGTTAAGCAGCCAATTGAATTAGTAATTCTGTGCTGCTGCTTCTGGGAGATATGACAGGAAGAGAGACATTGTTATGTAGCTTCTTCATGAAAGGATCTGTTTCCTTCCTTGAACACTGGAGATGTCTCAGTTGCCCACTGTGAAATGAATCTATATGCAGATGGGAAATCCATGCCCCTACCAGGGGAGTTTTGATGATCAGCATTTGCAAGCAACAGAAAATATTTTAGCAAGGGACAGGTGAAGCTGTATAACAGTCTTCACATAAACTCCTACTTGTTGAAAACCTTGAAAAGTTTGCCTTTGATCTCTGATGATGCGTGCAGTCTGCAGCATGGAGAGCCTCTATTTGGCAGATGAAACTCTTCCCAGAATTAATCCTGTGCTGACTCAAATATTTTGTGTTCTTTCTGGATGTAATTTTCCTGAATCAGACCTCCCTTTGTCTTGAGAAGTTTTTCTTTCCAGTGTGCTCAAAGATAGTTTTTTCTCATGATGTCTTCTGAGCATGGGACAGTTTTGTCCTGGAGGTGCAAGAGATCTCAACGAGCGTACCCCAACTGAGAAGAAGAACTTGGGAGAAGGGAGTCACTCTGCAGGGAGCAAGATTTGTCCAACATGCAGCTAGAAAACTCTGGGTAAAGCTCCTGCTGCTCTGGTGCTGCTGTGCGATGCGCCCCTGACATGGGGACCCTTAATACTAGTGGCTCTGTTGCAAACTCACAGCACAGCTTATTAGTGATGTACGTGATGTTCGCAGTCAAAATCAAAGCACCAGCGGCTGATTGCACACAGTGGAGTTATGATGCAATTACTGAAGCTTTCTGCATGCAGGGTTTTGAATGAGTAGGGCTTCTGTGGTAGCACAGGTGATATTCCTGAGGCTTTCATAATCTTTCTAGCGAAACTCTGTTCTAGAGGGAGAAAATTTGAACTCATCATCATAATAAAAAAAAAAAATTTAATGAGTGCTTTGTATGAAAGTTCATTTTGCTCCTGGTGTTGATATTAGTATGACAGTGGGATTGAATGTTCATTTTTGTACACACTGATGAAGGTATTTTTTGAGAGGAACTAATTAACTGATTGGCTGGTCAAGAACTTCAATTGTTTTGACTAACTTGAAATTAAAGATAATGTGGTCTCTAACACCAACTGGAGAACAACGATCTTATTTTCCCTTATCATTACGTGAAATGTAATTAATTTTTTCAAATAGCTTGAAAGAGCCGGGGGAGAAAGGAAATAAAAGAGAAAATTCTAACCAATTTGCTGCAGCAGAAATGAGATTATATTGTAACTCTTGCGTCATTTTCTCTAATGCTATCCCTTGCCTGGAATGAGAGGTAGGGGCTAATAAAAGCAGAAAAACCAGAAGTTCAGAACTAGTAACAACATCTGTCTCTGCCAGGGCAAAAAGTATTATGAAAAACCATATCCTTTTCCCATCAGGCTTCACTGTGCTTCTTTTATCTTGTACATTTCCTTAATGTTTTTTGACTGCATGTCTTGTCCTTAGTAAAGGAAACATTCAGTGGCGTATTAGGAAAGAGCCTGAGCAAAGATAGGAACTTAAACCCATTTCTGACTAGGGAAGCACAACAAACAAAAATACCATTTGAGCCCTTGAATGTTCCTCTGTAATGTTGTCATTAGCAGTTGTCATATACAAATATTTGGTGGGAAATCTTATGTATGGCAGCATTTTCCATGCATGAATTCTTACTGGGTTTTTTTGGGGCACTTCCCAATTTGTACGCTAAGAGATCAGCAGTTAGATACCTTCATGAATTTCCAGTTTTATCCCACCTATGTATTTTATCCTGAATTTATTCTAAATAGCAGCGGAATTACTTCTAGTAGCATCCCCTTTAGTTCTTCATCCCCACCAAAGTCAATGCAAAAAAATGTGAAAGCCAAACTGCAGTTTAGCCCCTGAATGGGGGGAAAAAAAACCACCACCACAAAAAAAAAAAAAAAAAAAAAAAAAAAAAAAAAAAAAAAAAAAAAAAAAAAAAAAAAAAAAAAAAAAAAAAAAAAAAAAAAAAAAAAAAAAAAAAAAAAAAAAAAAAAAAAAAAAAAAAAAAAAAAAAAAAAAAAAAAAAAAAAAAAAAAAAAAAAAAAAAAAAACGGGGGAAAAAAAAAAAAAAACAAAACAGAAAAAAAAAGGTAAATATTTAGAGGGACTACAAAGATAGATTTATAACCCTATGTGCAACAACAACTAAAGTCACCATAAACCTTGTTTGTTCCTAAGACAAAGGAAAATAGTTTAGCTCTAAGAAAGATTTATATGTGACTCACTCAAATTCAATGTCTTGTTTCTCCTCTTCTTGTTTGGTTTTATTGCATCACATTAAAGGAATCACAGAGGAGATGGCTCTTGCTGCAGCATAATGAACTTGCAGTACATAATGAACTTGCGGTAGTATAATGAGCACTGGAATTTTTTGTTGAATACATGAAATTTGTCCTACTGAAGGGAGCAAATGATGTGGATTGGGGTGCAGTGAAATTTGTGTCATAATGTGAATATAATGCATTGCATATGAGTGTAAGAATTGTTCAGAAGAAATAAGGCCCTTGTTTTTCTTTTTTGGGATGTTTTTATGAGATGATTTCAGAGATCAGTTTTGTGTTCCATTCTGCTGGTCTTTGTGGGTTACACCAGCCCCTTCCTTACTCAGTGGCTGTGCTAGTGGTCCTGTAATTAGAGGGTATTCCCATGAATGTGCAGCACTGTGTGCATTGTAGGAATACTGCAAAAATGCTATCAGTAAGGTGGAATACCGGTATTATTTCACCAAGAAAATAGCGTCTTCCTAAGAGAACATGATGTTGAATCTAAGCAAGATAAACTAAGCAAATTTTCACCTTTGTATAATGTCTTCTTTCATATATCAAAGTTTTAATCAGTTAGTTATTCCTGTTGGTTGTCAATTATGTGGTAAACACAATTCAGATTTCCAAGATAAATGTATTTGCCATGCTATGTTCATGGTATATTCATCCAAAACATTGGCTCTCCTCAGGTATCAGAAAGCAGATTCTTTTGTTAGATCTGAGTACTTGCTTTTGCTGCATAATTACTCCAGGTAAAGGTTTAATGAAAATTAATGCATTTTTTTGTTATCTGTTATAAAATGAATGCAGATGTATTGCAGTAGCTCTAATACATAGTGACTGGTGAGTAAACCTAAGAACCACGGCAGTGGCATGGTGGTATAAGCGTCTGCTTTCCTGCTTCTGTTTAGGTCAGCAGCAGGTCCAAAGCACTTGTCTTACTTAGTGACTTCTGTTTGAAAAGAAAGGCAGAGTAAGGATCTGTGAAGTGAGAAGTATGGATTTTTTGAAATTAGTTCAATGCCATACTTGGATGAAAATGTAGGTCTTGTATCTCATTGCTTGGGATGCTAGTTTTTTTGCTCTGAAAATACCTCCTAAAATCAACAGGTTTCTGTTTCTGAACTGCTCAGTTCATAGCACTGATTCATGTCTCTATATCTCTTTGTATAAAAATAGCATTAGAGTTAGTTAATTTAATTTTTAAAGACTTTTAAGACCTGGGGATAAAACATGTCGATGGGCACAGGTTGTTTGTTATCTGACCCCACGGCGCTGGATGGGGAGGATGAGCTCATTTTTGAGATGTGTGTAGGCTGCCCTTTACTGCAGAGTTAGTTAATAGAATTAGGCATATTCTCAAGCAAATACCTTTCCCTTTTGTTGTGATTTCAGCATGCTGCTCCCCACATCCATATGACCAATGGTAAGGCCTTGCAAGCCAGTGCAAGTGCCATCAAGACAAGCACCATTCCAGTGATCAAGAGACAGAGGCAAAATTGGCTTGATGCTTCAGAAGATGGTTTCTTTATAGCCACAGAAGAGACCAGGTAAGAAAAATGAAATCTTAGCAGGGAATGAGGCTTCACAGCATATGTGTTACTGATCCACAGTTTGAATAACAGTTTTTGACATCATTATTTGAGGTTGTGTTACAACAAAGAGCAGTGTTATGTCAAAGCTAATGCCAAATTTTGCATCTTCTATTTACTAATACTATCAGTATTTCATAAGGAAGACTTAGAGATAATTCTCTGTGGCAAAGATTAGAACTTTTTAATTATCATTAATTGTAGTTCATATACAGTGAGACACCTCTGATCATTCAGTAAAATGTAAATGCATCCACAGTGTAGGTTATACTCTAAAATTTTCAGAACTTGAAAAATAGCATACAGTGGAGAAATATGCAGTCAATAGCATCTTTTCTAGGCTAGAAATTGATTTCCTTTAAAAACAACTAAGATGATAATCTTCTTCAGCTTTTCATTTACAGATTAATTGGTAAAATTTAATGAGCTTTTGCTTTTCCCAGTAGGGTTTGATATCACGGAAGAATCACTAGTTTTCTGGAGGTTCCTCTTTATTTTCTTTCCCTGTTAAGATCTGATCATTCCCTGATTTAATTCAGACTAGACAAGAAGTTGTAGTCTGTTTTTGTAAGCTGTGCTTGCTGGACCTGTTATTTAAAAACCTTTAATATCTTATTTAAGCAAGGGGATTATTAGAGTGAGTAACATCAGACTGCTTCTCATTTCTGTGATTATTTCACAAGCCCAGAAAAGCTGGTAGTTGAAGAAAAATGTAAATAAAAAAAAAGAGGGAGCAGAAAGAACGTATGCAGATACAGAGCTAACAAAGGAAAATGTGCACATTTAGTCCCATTAATGATAGATTGATCTAGGAAAGTTAACATACTAGCACATGACGATTTGATGGTTATTTCAAGATCAATTCAATATGACACTTCATCTTGCTTTACTATGAGGAATGCAACAATTCAGAGAAAGTGAATGAACTCTTAGGCTTCTAATTCTAGCCCAGATTGATGGCATTCACTGTTTTGAGGGTTGTTTGGTGCAAAGAGCTTAGTAGTATCAGACTAATCCCTAGTGATTATATCCTGAGACTGGTTACCTTTTGAAGTTATAGAATTTTCAATTTCATTTTTTCCCAATGACTATAGAGAAGTGTCTGTCAAAGGGTGAGATGAGTCTTACACTGACAGTGACTTCCCAGTGATCTTTGAGGCAGCCCAAACAACTTACCTAGACTAGATGTTTAAATTCAAGGTGGTCAGGGCATGGTGAGATGAGGCTTGCCTTTGCAAATCACTCATCTGTGAGAGCTCTGCTTGCTCTCATCCCAGGATATCCCCCTCCCCACTCCCGTGGCTGCAAATACCATACCCAGGCCAGGGAGCAAGGCAGAACTAGCACTGTCTGTCCCTCCACACCTCTAGGTGTGTGTAAACAAGGGACTTGTCCTCACAGCTCTGCATCTGTGGCTCTTCTCCAAATCATGAAAAGTTTAAGGAGGAACATTTGAAATCTCCTGGTATGGGAAACATAGGACAGTTAGACCTCACTGATACTCCTCAAACAAGGAGGTGCCTGAGCTTGTGCTGCTGCATCACTCTGGCAGGTGCTGGAGCAACACAGCAGGGAATGCTCAGGGACTGGTGTGGACTGAGCCCTCCCAGTACAGCTGCTTCTGGTCTGACAGGAGCTGACCCCATAGTTTGATGCCAGTACATGTGCACCCACCTTGCTGCTGTGAAAACAACACACCAAGAAGTGTTAGTGCCTCTCTCACATAAATCTTCAACGCTATAACTAATGGGAGACAGCAGCTTTTTATCCTGTGAACTCAGTTTCACATGAGATCTGTTCCTTCTCTCTCACAGCACTTTTCAGTATTTTTCTTTTCTTTTTGTCTTTTCCTGTCCCCATCCTGTCCCCCTTGATTCCTTCGCTCCCTCAGGTGTGTTTTCTTCTTTCTAAGTTTTTCCTTTGATTCCTTTCACCTTTACTCCAAGATTATTTAAAAGAGCCTTTAAAGCTCCAAGTGGAAAGCACTGCCTGGTTCAGCTGCTAGGAATGCACTAATGTCCAAGGTGACAATTGAATGCTCTGCTCTTTGGGGGAAGGTGGAGGAATACACTAGTCCCTGACAGCCAACCTGTCCTGTAATAGATCACATAGCTCAGCACCTCCATGATGAGTTGAATGCAATATAATTGCAGTGGGAAAGATATCTAGAGTGGAGATGTTTGAAAAAGCAGCACACAATTTGCCTAGTCCTGACAGAGAATGAAAAAAAAAAAAAAAAAAATCAGTTACCAGGTTGCATCCATTAGGTTCTGAACATGTTCTGAACACTCAGCTCAAACATAATCACCCCATTTAAGGTAACAACTCATTCTTTAGGACACTTGTTTCATGTCCAGTCTATTTTATCATGTAAAATTGTTCATTAAAAATACATATAAGAGAGACACATGGTAATTATAGCAAAAGGAAAAAATATTCTTTAGTGTATTTGAAGCCTGCAAAAGGGAAAATATTTTTCAGTATAATTTTTAGTTTGCAACAGACTGTTGATATTATCTGAGGAAAAAAAAGAATAATATTATTGCTCCTAAGCTAAATGAGGTACCAGTCTATTTCCAGTTAATCAAACCAAAGATGCACATGAGCATTCTAAACATTATTATTCATCAATAGATTAGATAAATATATGTATTTATGACTAAAGCACCATTTTAGAAGATATTTTTAAAGAAATTATTACCTTTTCCTCCCTGAATTTAAGCAGCAATCTTATTTCTATAAAGTTAACTCTTGTGTATCTAATTGCTCACAGATTTGAGATATTTGTAGCAATGGATGAATAGGGAGCTAAATATTCAGAGCAGTGAAAATAATTATGGAAATTATGTATCATCTAAGTTTGCCAAGGTAACCCTTGGAGTTACCCTACAATTTTAGGGCACTCCCCTTCACTTTGCACTCAGGCCACAGTTCAACAGTACCTGCAGGTGTACTTAAAATTTAGTGTAAGCATATGTATCATTGAAATACAAAGACTAGAGTCTACATCTGAAGTTCAGCATATTTTTAGGTGCTAATCTGGCCTTCAGAGTAGAATAGGAATGTATTTTATATAAGTTGTAATGTGTATCCTCATACATTTCAGCTTTTTTTTTTTTTTTTTAAGTTTTAGCTGTTTGATTGCAGTTTCCTCCCCTGTTGTTTATCAGTATCTTCACATCTGGAGAAAAATGGCAGCATAATTCTCATTTGTATTTCCTTTTCTCTCAGCCCAGATGCCACTGCAAAGCCAAGCATTTGCACAGTGCCAAGCCCCAGTTATTCCAGTCCAGGGCTAGTCTGGGGAATAGACAAAGTTTTTCCCTCTGCTACATGTTAGTGGCATGAAGGAATAATCCTTATGAATTTTTCTATATGAATTTGCTGATTCCCTTCCTGAATACCTATCAGCACGCTAGTGAATTTTGCCAATAAATATAGAGGTCCCCAGTTTTCTTATTTCATCTCTAGTGACAAGCTGCACTCTCCATTCAAAAAACTTCCTGGCGCCTTTGTGCATCCAGCTTACATGGGATTTCCACCCCTCTGTTCAGTCACAGGCTCACAACAGGGATTAATCTAGGCAGAAGACCAGATGACAGTTCTAGAACACTTACCTTTTGACATTACATCATAATTTTTAATGTTGACCTTTGCTGGATTTCACATTTTTTCTTTCTGTCTTTGTACTCTTTTTGAATGAAAAAGGAATTCTCATTTCCTACTGTGAAATAACTTACTCCTGATTTTAATCTAAAGTGTAAATCTGTTTACACAATTAATTGAAAAATCAGTCTCTTTAAAGAACCTCGTGTTTATCACTGCTCACCAAGACAGTCTCATTTCTTTTTTAGTATACTTAGACATGAGTTGCTAGGATTCTCCTAGCACTAAGTGCCTGCTCTAGGATTAACCAAAAGTCTCATAACTATAAAAAAAATTTATTCAGGACATTCTACTAAATCACCTTTGCTATAAGGAAACATTTTGGGTGACTAGCTGTGATGTGGATTCTATCGTAGGCCTGGTTAGAGGTTAATGCAGCAAATTCCCATATTCTGTGGAGTTAAATCCTTTATGCGGAATCACTGTTCTGGGAGCTAAATAATAATTGAAAAAAACCTAACAGTTCATATTATGGTCTTCAGAAGTTTAATAAAAATGTAATATATTGGCTTAATATTGCTTGAATGATAAAAAAAACACAACCATAATCTAGGAGTAATATTAATAAGATAACTGTTGAACTGTTGGCTGTCAAGGTGAATGTATCTGTTGATTAAAACTTTTCCTACCAGTTCTAGGCATGCAGTGTGCATACAGTCCCTACACGCATGCTCTGTCCGTAACAGAGCGCATGTGCATGCTAATGGTCATACTTGTGTAGGGACAGCTGAAACACTGGTTGGTAAATGAGTTATTTTTTTTTTTTTTTTTATTTCAGCATTTTCATTATAAGAAATGTGTGGAAATGTTTGGCTGAATGTGTTACAGCAGCAGATTCTATATGCTTTCCCTTCATGGGCCAAAAAGCATATTTGCATATAGATCTGCAGTTGAATGACTCGATGCTTGTTTCCTTTCAGTGCTGAAGCAGTTAGAAACCTTCTCACGGTAAGTGCAACTCCATTGGGAATGAGTTAACTGCAACTGCTAAAATTAGAACATGATCTTTAGCTGTTACCAGCAGACATGGCTTCCTTTTTTGCTGATAAAATGATTTGAGAGGCATCCCTGTGGCAGCATTATGTAGGCAATTTTCATATTTCTCACTTCATGTTCTGTCTCCAAAAGGAAAAGCTTCCCTTGATTTGTTGAGATACTACATAAGGATATCACAATTGCTGCGATAATTACCTGAAACCGCTCATTTTTATTTATGCATGTCTCATAGCACACACAAAAAAGCTTAAAAACCAAAGTTGCATGTTCAGAAAGAAGAGAATGTGAGGCTGATGACCAGCTTCTGCAAAATGTTGTCTTGTCGTGCTGTCAGTGGTCTGGTTCTCTTACAGAAGTGGGGGAGAGCTGTGCTAGTGCTCACAGCCTTTCATGCTCCTGTTCGTGCTGCTATCCCTCTCTGCAGTGTAGCCTTATCAGTGCAGACCCTAACCTGTACCTTTACAAACTGAAAACGACTTTTGTGAACCCCAAATTAAAATTAAGAGTTGTGAATGATCTGCCCCTTCTCCCTCCCACGAGTGTGTTTTAATCAGTGCTTAGACAAAGGTTGTGCACGGTGTTTGAGTTACCACTTGTAGCACGTGTCTTGGAGAAAAGGGAAAACTGGAGGAGTAAGGTTTCAGCGCCTGGGGTCTGATACGCAGTGCAGGGGTGCAGGTCTATATACAAGTCAGAGTTCCAGTGCTATCTGCTCTTCTCCTTCTTCCTCTTCCCATGTGCAATTTCTATCCCAGAAATGTCCATGGGTATCTTTACTCTTTCTTTTCTGGTTGTCCCCAGCTGTGCAAAAAAAGTTGTGCAGCAAAACCAGTATTTTCATAAAGCTGAGGCACTCTGATTTGAACTGGGATTCTAGTTTTTAACTATACCATACTTGGATCCAGGGCATAGTGCATTTTCATTTTCTACCTGTATGGCACTGTGGCCATTAGACCCCAGTCCTGTAATTGTCTGCAAGAAGATGCCTGGCTGCACTTGTGGAGCATCAGCTGCAAGCCTGAGAATGTGATGCACCAGTTCTCTAAAAAAAAAACAACCAGCCCCTGAGGATATAATTTTCTGGTTCCTTTACTTCTGTTGTATTATAGATTTGTCATACATCTTGAAAGCAGGGATTACAGAGCATATCCCTTAGAATTTTGTCTAATCCCCGCTGATAGGATTGCAAATATCTTATTGATTTGCCACAGCTGAGCACAGGTGAACTGACAACTATCACCAGTCACTGTGACTATACTGCATATGGGGAATTTGGGGAGGAACTGTCCTTGCTACAGTTTAGGAGCTGTCCTACTTGGCTAGCTCCTGTTCAAAGTTGTTATATACTCATATGAAAGAATAATAGTTTCTGGGAACTGTTATTTTGACCTTATTTAGTGTGAACTATTCATGAATGCTGCACACTGTTCACAGCTTATAAATCATACTTTTCTGAGCCCTACTGAGGTACTGTGATACAGAATTGCAAGCAGAAGTGTAGAAACTAGATCATAGTCTTTTGCCATTTCTCACTGAGCAGTTTTCATGGGTATTACAGACATTTTCTTTCAGTATTTACCTACATGAGTTTTTCCTCTTGGGCCTTTTATAGTGCCTACTAAATCAAAGTAACACTGCTGTGATAATGCAAATGTTTGTTTTTAAAAGCAGGATCATTCCATGGAACTAAAATCGACTCATTTGAAGAATGTGAATATTTTTTTTAACTTAAGGAATCATAACTATTTACAGGAAAAACATACAGAAAAATATCTCAGAGCTCATTATAAGATGTGCCATTAGACAGAACTGGTAGGTTTGAAAAGTATATAGTGTTATGAGTTTTGCTTTATCTGTCTTCAGATCAAATTAAATACAGTCATTCTGGCTTGGAGCTATATATTAATCTTCTCACAGTTTAATATGGAGTTTCAGTTACACTGTATTAATCTACTTGTCCTATTTAAAGCTACGAAGTAGAGGAAGGATGTTGCCATGGTTGGAGTGCTTGCCTATGACTTAGGAAAACGTGATTCCGTTCCCTGCTCCCTCACGGACTTCCCAGGAGACCTCGAGCAGGTCTTTTAAGTCTCAGCATTTACATACTGAACTCCTAATATCAAAATTAAGAAGGTGCTTCAGTACTTTGAAGATCTGGAGGCAATTACCAGTGTACCTTCAGTTCTTTGCCTGAAGACTCAGATGAAGTATTCTTCACTCTTTCACAGGGCTGTTGTATGCTGAGCAGGTCAGAAGGCTAATAGGGGATCTTCTTTTAGAGAAAACTCTTTGTTTTTATTGGTAATAAAGTCTTACTGAAATGCCACCCAGAACAGTCCAGAAACTGTTGACTAAAACTGGATGATTTGTTAGCTTCAGAGCTGTCTCTGCTGATTAGCAGGTGAAAATTAATTAGCTCACAGCTTCGGCGATGACTGCAGGGAGGCTGAGGCTGGGAACAGATGGTTGTTAGTGACCTAGTTACTTCTGCCTGAAAAGTCACACTGTTGGCTCTTGTAAAATGATCTTATCTGATCCTACCCTGTTGTGAGCAGAAATTCAAATATGCTGCCTCTCTAGGGTGGCTTAGATACCAAAGTATACTTTGCAATTGCATGTGAGGTAGGAGCTTGAATGTGGTTAATTCACATGATTCAGCTAAAAAGCAGTGGCACATTTGGAGGTGTTACTCAACCACTTGCAATCTTCTCCACTGCCTTCAACAAAAGTCCTTTCACGTTCAGATAGTAGCTGCCAGAAGATTTTATATTTGGGAAGGGAAATACTCTCTGAAATGAGCCAAATTTTATTGTCTTGGGAAACTTATGAGGGGGAAAAAACCCCAAATGAAATACAGGGTTGATAATTAGTGCATTAAGAACTGTCTGAAACACAGATGTTAGTGGAGAAGCCCCTGTATAAGCACTTGACTTTTCCATAAACCTTGTTTGCTTTGTTAGACCTTCCAGACCCAATTCAGCAAAGCTCTTAAATCCATTCCTGACTACCACTGAGCAACATCCATCAGCTTGAGTACATCACATAGTCCATGGTACACCTTTTATTTCCGGTGTTAAATTGGGATGCCATGCAATTTTTTAACCTGTTTGGGTTTTTTGTTTGTTTGTTTTGTGGTTTTTTGTTTGGTTTTTTTTTGTTTGTTTTTTTTTGTTTGGTTTTTGTTTGGTTT